ACAGCTCAGGCCTGGGCCCTGCAGTGGGTTCCCCCGTCCTGCTCTCCAGAAGGTGAGCTGCCTGAGGCTTAGGAGCTAGAAGGAGGTCAGAGAATGTCATTCCTGAAATTCCTCACAGTTCCAGACTTTCGTGAACCTGCTTTTGATAGGACTTCTAGAAAGAGGTGGTATTCAGAAAGATGGGCGTTTACTTGGAAATCCGAGTCTTAATTGTCACCACCACCCTCTTCCTGTATACAAGGAGCCAGAGGTGTCAGAGGGAAACTTGGCAAATAGAAACCCTCTCCTTCAGGGGCTTTGCAGGGAGCACATAGCCAGCCTCATGCTGTTGGCAAGTGTAGCACTTTTGTGGCTGTCCTGACACTCCTGCTCTATAATTTTTACACCAGGGCTCTGAGTGCTCTCAGCGATTGTCATGGCCAAGCCAGCTGCCCACCCTTCAATCCCCTCCTGCACAGAGCCATCCTCTAGGTCCCCTCCAACTCAGACCCAGTGGCCCGCCCTTTTCTGAGCTGCTTGTAGGTTTTAAAGTTTGAATGAAGCCATCGGGCAGGATAACTTCTGTGCTGACTCCATGAGCCCATCCATCAGCATTTCCTGTTTTCATTCATGCTGTAAGTGAAAGAGCTGTAACAAAAAGAAGAGAGATTGCCAAGACAAATAGTGGCTGTGGCTTGCGCAAATATTACTTATTGCAAGCCTTTTTAAACAGGCAGCCTTCCGAAACCTACATCGCATGCTTTTCAGGAAAGCCGAGTCATGCTAAGTGGGCTTGCTTCGTGATTTAGGAATATGTCTATTGAATTCAACAGAAGAGGATTCTTTGGCTTGGCCCCTGAAATTTTTATCAGGGACAACCAGTAAGATAAGGGAATAATTTGCTTACTTAGGTCACTGGGGAGGTTTAACTGGTTGGTGTTTCTCCGGAAGTCCTGAGGAAATGAAGCCTGCAGGAAGAGTGACCTGTCCTTTCTCACAGGCCCAGCCTTCTCATCAAGGCCCTCGGGGCTAAGGCCGATCCCTACAGTGTCAGTCTCCAGTTAGTCACTGATGCTGCCCTGGGAAAGGGCTTCCTGCTTCAGCAAATACCCATCCCCAGCCAGCCGTCCCAGGCTGGCCGTTCACTCTCTCCCTTCTCCTTGGCAGCCTGCAGTGTGGAAACAAACAACCGAAAAGCACGTACATGCTCAGAAAACAGAGTCAAAGCTTTCAAAGCTTGGGAACCTGGCTCTCCTCTGGCCCCTGCTCATCATTTTGCCAGCTGGAGTCCCATTTTTCCCTCCCTTAACTGAGAGTCTCTTTTCTACCAGTGTTTTGTTTATTTCTAGTGTGTGTCTTAAAATACGAAATTGGGGTTAATTGCTCTGTTCAGCCATCTGAGGTGACAGTATCTTCATTGTCAGGTGTGGCATCTACAGCATTGCATCTTTGATAAATAATCAAAATGGGTTTGTAAGAAAAAAAGAGGGTAAGTAGGACGGACATGTCTTTCTTCCTATTTTTTAATGTGTCCATCTGTGGCTGTTGAATTGTGTGACCTTTGCATTGGCTGCTTCGTCCCACACTTTTTGTTACTGCCTCTGAGGAGAAGCTAGTAGAGCGGGCCATGAGGGTGCTGCATGTCCTGAGAGGGGTGCTAATAAGAGGGTGAGGGGTCAGGAGGATAGAAGCAATAGCAGAGGGAGAAGATGCCCAAGAGGACAAAGGGAGGCGAATCTCCCTCTCTGAGATCCAGATAAGCCATTGAACTGGGTTTACGGAGAGGAAAGGAATTTTCCGGGTGGGAAAAGAACAGAAATGACAGTAATGTAGTACTGATCTCTTTCAGGAAGGTTGATAGCTTGATGCTGCTACAGAATGAGGGGGGAGTGTGTGTGTGTGTGTGTGTGTGTGTGTGTGTGTGTGTGTGTTCGCGTGCCACAGGCATGTTCCTATATATGTATGTCTTTGCATGTGGGTGTGCCTGTATGGCAGAGGCCAGAGAACAACCGCAGGTGACCTCAGGGAAATACTCACCTTCCTGCCCAACCACCCACTCCTGCCCGCCTTTTTGGAAACACTCTTTCATAGGTCTGAAACTCCCCGATTAAGGCTAGACTGGCTGCCCACCCAGTCCCAGGGACTCTCCTGCCTCTACCAGCCCAGTCTGGGATTACAATCATGCGCTGCCATGCCTGGCTTTTTATATCAGGGGCTCTGAGAATCAAACCCATGTCCCTGTGTTTAGACAAGGCCTGTACCAACTGAGTACCTTCCCTGCCCTGAAGCGTGGACAGAGACCGAGCAGGGATGGTTTGCATGGGCAAGGCTTCCTGGTGAAAATGGAAAGGATTTTCTTCCTTTAGGTAAGAGCGCCTGTGACTGGAGGAGAATGTGGGGTCGCAGTGAGAGTTAACACAGAGTAGCTAGTGCTAAAGATGGGGAAAGACTGTAACAAAGGCATTTGTCCTCGGCACCGTGAGCAGGTGTTTAAGGGCTTAGAACTGTGTTAGTTAATGCTCATAGTGCTGAGTAAAACATGGAGACAAGCAACTTGAAGGAAAAAGCGTTCCTTTGGGCTCCCCGTTTGTGGCTGTGACCCACTGTGGCAGGAAAGGATGGTAGCGGCATGGCGCCACCGTCAGGAAGTGGCAAGAGGAGTCGTCTTAGCCCCGTCCCTCTGCGTCTGCGTGGCCCTTACAGCTCCAGCATCCTAGAATCTCCTTTGTATCTTAAGCTTCGTCTTCATAGCTGTTTCACGGGCACCTCTCGGGGCAACCTCGCAGGGGTTAGAAGTCATCTCTAACTTGGACCACTGTGGATGGAATCATGAGAATGGTCCCATCTGGCGTGTAAAGAAGGAATGTCCTTTCGATTGTTCTGCTATAAATCTATTCAAAGAAAAATTAAATAAAAATCAAGGAAGGGGGCCCGGGCACTGGGGGAAGGAGAATAAATGAGAACAAGGCCATAGAACCTAGTTTTTTCTATGGTAACTTAAAACATTAATTTTAAACCATAAAATTGACTTGTCAAATGTGTATCAGTGGTCATAAAAGATGTTTTATATCCTTGGCCCATAACCTTGCCCTTGGAAATGTATTCCAAGAATCTACTTTGAAAGAGATTAAAGCTCACATGCAGCACAATTCCAGTGTGTCATTGTGCGTGCTGGAGTCTGCCCAAGTATTCAGCAACAGAGGGAAGAGTTCTACAAATTTTGGCACATCTATTTAACAAAGTTATAAGCGACTATTTTTATAATAATTATAATACAAAAATAAAATCATAATTTTAAGTTGAAGGAGACTACAGAATTATGAGGTTCTGCAAAAAGAATAGGTACATGAAATGCTTAAAGAAAATAATAAAAATTAAGTGTACGTGGAGTCTAGGATCACATCTAAAAAAATATTTCCATCAGTTCTTGTTAAATTCTATTTCCCATGAAAACTAGAGCTATATCTTCATTTGTTTACGTGTGTGTGTGTGTGTGTGTGTGTGTGTGTGTGTGCGCACGCGCGCGCGCTGCTGAGGATTTGAACTCATGCACTCATGCAAGGCAAGCATTGTGCTACCGGCTTCAACCCCAGTCCTTATATATTTTTATAAGACCATAGTGTATTCGTTTACTGCTTATTCCTATCTGTATAATGAATTATGGCCTCAGCCATCCTGTCAGTAGGTGGTGTGTATTCCAAAATAGTTTGTACATCAGTAGTATTCTTCCAGGATCATAATGGGCAGTCATTGCGTATGAGTGTCTTGTTAAAATACTGATTCTGTTGGGGCTGGACAGATGCTCAGAGGTTCAGAGCCCTGGCTCTTTTCCAGAGCACAGGGTTTGATTCGCAGCACCGCGTGGCTTATAACTGTGTAACGGGATCCATGATCTCCTGGCCTCTGCAGACACCAGGTGTGCAAATGGTGCCCAGATCTACCAGCAGGCAAAACGCCCACGCACATATGAGCGATTAAAATGTGTTATTTTAGATGTTCGTTCTAGTTGCGCAGATCTCATGGGCCCAGTATCCCACCTTTTTAACAAGCCCTTACGTGCTGTTGCTCTAGGTCCATAGCTCACACACTGAGCACCAAGGCTCTGTAGCTCTCCCCTGGGCAGAAAGATGATGCTACTAACCCAGGATCTATCACGTCTGTCTGTCTGTCTGTCTGTCTGTCTGTCACCTCACAGACGCCACAGTGACATGTCTTAGTTGGGGTGCAGGCATGCACATATGTGTACTTGTGCCCCTGTGGGAGACCTGGGATGGCCTATGCTGTCACTTTCTACCTTCCTGCTTTGAGTCAGGGCCTCCAGATTCACCTGGACCTAGGCTGGTGGCCAGTGAGCCCCACAATCCTGTCTCTGCTCTTTACTCTTACAGATGCAGCCACAGCAAGATTTGTTCATGGATGTAGAGATCTGCACTAAGTTCTTCGTGTTTGTACAAGGGTTCTCACTTAGCCGCCACGGTGGCATTTCTATCGGCTACGAAGGAGCCCGTAGAAATGACAATGATTCTGAATTAAGCTGTTGTCTTTCATCACATCTCCCACTTGAAATCCTTAAGCCATGCCTCCAGCTTAAATTTTGCTCATCAACAGAATTGATCAGGGGCCCAAAAATAAAAGCAAAATAACATTATAATATTGTTATACTATTAAAATAATGTGTTCTAGATAGGCTATAAAGAACAAGGCATGATATTATGTGCTTGTCCCTTTGATAGAGTTTGGAGCCTGGTTGCAAAGCTGAAAATCCCATCTATGCTAGGAAAAGCTTTGGTTTGAGCTATAATACTGGGGCTAACAGTAGAAACCTGCCTTGTGCTGTGACGTTAAGCATCTTCCATCGTGACGGCGATGTCAGGTTAGCTTTGTGTAGACAGGAGGTACTCTGCCTTGTGGCCTTGTGGCAGGAGCCATGGCGAGCACTTGCACGTTACTAAACATGGATTGGCAGCACTGGCTACAGTTTTCTGATAACAACAGCCCATTCCCAACTTGTCTCCATGCAGTGACTGAAGCTGGCTTTGGGGCTGATATTGGAATGGAGAAATTCTTCAACATCAAGTGCCGAGCTTCTGGCCTGGTGCCCAACGTCGTCGTCCTGGTGGCCACTGTCCGCGCGCTGAAGATGCACGGAGGGGGGCCAAGTGTGAGTTCCGAGTTTGGTTTGGTTTGGTTTGGTTTGGTTTCCTAGCTTTATAACAGAAAGCCAGGAGCTGAAGAGATGGCTCAGTGGCTAAACACACTCACTGCTCGTAAGTGACTCACAACTGCCTGTAACGCCCTGTTCTGGATCCCACAGGCACATGCACGTAAATAATAAGATAAAAATGTTAAAGCTATATGTGGGCTGGAGAACTGGCCTCGTGGGTTACTTGCTCCTCGTGCAGAGGACCTGAATCCAGTTACCAGCACCCACGTGATGGCTCACCAGGGATCTGATTTGACCTCCTCGAACACCAGGCACACATGTGGTATATACATAGATACATGCAGGCAAAACACTCAGACACATAAAATAATTTTTTAAAAGTTGGGGGGGGGTAGGTGTTGGTGCACACCTATGATCCCAGCGCTCAGGAGACAGAGGTAGGTGAATCTCTGAGTTCAAGGCCAGCCTAGTCTATAGGGCCAGTTCTAGGAGAGCCAAGACTACCCAAAATTTACATTTAAATTTTAAAAAGTCATATATGGTAGGTTGCACCTATAATTCTAGCATTCAGAAGACTGAGACAGGAGGATTGCCACAGGTTCAAAACCAACCAGACTCAAAATAGAACCTGTTATAGTGCACACTAGGTGTTCCCAATTGTCTATAAAGCCTCCCCTCCCCCAGAGATCGTGTGTCAGCCACTTGCTGGGCCCACACATGGCTTCTGAACAGCACTGTTTTAAGTCATCCCTGCCACACTTCAGTGAGCGGGCGGACCGGGTCAGAAGCATGGAGCTCCCGTTCCTCCATCAGGACCGCTGGGGTTGGCGGGAGAGCTTTGATGGATGTTTTCCTTGCTTCTGTGGATACTTTTTTGGCACGAGGACACTATAGGTGATCTGGTTTCCTTCCTCTGTCTCTGCCGATCGGACTTCACCTTGGGACTCTAGCACAGTTACTGCTTCTGAAGAACCCTGTTTGGGAAACACAAATCCTGATTTTTATTTTTATTTTTTCTAAATAAGCACTCAGTATGTAGCCCTCACTGGCCTGGAATTTTTAGGGATCCACTTGCTAGTGTCGGGATTAAATGGGTATGCCATCACCTATTTGTTTTAATGTATGTGAAGACTTTTGTCACCTATCTTTAAAATGTAGAAAAAAAGGTCTATACGTGTGTTTTAAATTTGGTTGGTTTTTCAGTTTAGAAATTTGCAAGTTGGAGGGGCAGAGAGATGGCTCAGTAGATAGAAATTTCCAAGTGGGAGCATTTTTATTCAAAGCTTCATTATCATTTTCTCATCTGATCTCATTATAGCATACTGGTGCATCAGACCTAGACCTCCAGACTATACAGTCATCAAACTTACTTTCTTAATTAGAGTACTGTGTTCATAAAACTCCCTGTCAAGGGTGGTCACCCAGTGAAAACAAGTAACAGTTTTGCCACTAGCAAACAATGATCCTCTGAGCATTTCTTTGTAGCCGGCACTTCTTTCAATCCCTTTTTATAGCTGAGGAGCCAAGACTTGCTGACTTTGGAGACAAGCCTGAAGCCACGAGTATCAGTCAGACTCCCTACTCCGTCCGCCACGCACAGCTGGGTGGTGAGGGCAACACCGATGTTCTAACTCCAAGGACACGTAGAGCCAGGCACCTCAGCACTCCATCTTACCCTAAGTTATCATCTCAAATGCAGCATTTGCAAAGACTCATAACTGTAGATCCTAAGCAGTTTTGATTGTGCTCAGTTGTTGCCCTTGTCCCTCCATTTTAGACTTTGAATCTTTAGGCCAACTTCTGCATGCAAAAAATAAAAGTTATAGGGACAGGAGAGGTGGCTCGGTGACAGATCACGGGCTGCTTGCTCTTCTAGAGGACCCCGGTGTAATTCCTTGCACACTCTAGCAGCTCACAACTGTCTGTAGCTCCAGGGGCTCTGACACCATCACACAGACACACATACAGGCAAAACACCAATGCACAGACAGAGGGGGAGAAAGACAGGAGAGGGGGGAAATAATAAATAATAAGTAAATAAATATATGGAAAATAAAAAATATATGTTTAATTTGAAATAGTCTCTCTCTCTCTGCCACTCCCACATGTAAACTCAAAGAGCTTAAGCGCTTTGATCCTCTAGAAGGTTTAGAGTCTGTCTGGTCTGATTTGGTCTTCATGAAATACGGGGGGAATCCTGCAGCCACATAGGGACCAGCAGTGGGAGCAACACGCCTCTGTTTAGGGAACTGCTCAGACCTGGAATTTCCAGTCCAGAGTCTTTCCAGACCTCCAGACTATAAAGATGCTCGACTTGATTTCCAGCCCTGCACTTCTTACCGTATGTGTTTCTGATGGCGGGCTGTGTTCTCTTCCACTATCCCTTTCTGTTCCCTCCATCCCTACTTAGTGCTGTGGGTCTATGGCAGAGAAGGTAACAAGGTTTGAGGCCGTGGGTAGAAACGCTGACCGTTTAATCGGCTTCCCGAGACTGAAACACATACCTGATAATCCGCCCCTAAGGACTGCTGCAGTCGTGTGGACATCGGTTGTGCCCACAGCAAGGCAGTAAGTAAATCAGGCTGGGAGCCCAGGACAAAGCAAAGCCACTCGCTTCGTACGGGGGGGGGGGGGGGCGCGGAGCACCTCCTTCTAAGACTCACCACCCCCGCTGGTTCTCCCCAGGAGGACATACCCCCATAGACATCCAGGGAGCATTGAAGGACCAAACGATTGCCCCCGAATGAGCGATAGTGATCAGGGGGGCTGCAAAGAAAGGGCCAGGGCTTGGCATCACAGTATCTTATAAATGTATCTCTCCTCAGAGTCTGGATCCCTTGCACTCAGGAACTGTCTCATTATATTAGTTGCTGTGCCCCGGGGCCTGGCATATTCCGTATCCAGGAAACGTTCTCAGTAATTGAGTCGCAAATGAACTTTCATCCGTCAGTCCTACGTCCATATTAATCCATGTTGCCCACCACAGTGTCTGCTTTCTACTTGATGCAGTTCTGCGGTGATATTTTTGATCCTGTGTAATTTCTGCTTCCTTTCAACATGTCGCACAAAGAGCCATGGCTGCCTCGTGTGTTTACTCAGCTGAGGTCTGCTTTTCTAATCCATTATTTGTGCAGTGGAAAATCCTGTGACCTTTGAACTTGCCCATTTTGACACAGTTATTTTTCTCATTGCTGGAACCGAATACCTGAAAAGAAGCAACTTAAAAGAGGAAGGGGCTTTCAGGTGCTCATGATGTGAGCCAACAGGGTAGGGGCCGTGAGTGCAGGGAAGAAATGGTGACAGGCGCAAGGGGCCGATGATGGTAGTCAGGAAGCAGGGGCGAATGTTGGTCGTCATCTGGCTTGCGCTGACCCCGGCCCTGGGATGGTGCTGCCTGCCCTCACCTGGGTCTTCCCTCTTAGATGAAGCCTCTCCAGAGGCTCCCTGACAGACACACCCAGGGGATGCTCTTAACGCCCCGGGCATTTCCTAATGCCTCCTGTTGACAGTGAAGATTTAAGAGTCGCACCACCAGCATTGTAAGTTCACAGCCTGACTCCCGATGGCTGACCACTCTTGGTGTGGTGTAAGAGCTGACCTCCCTGTACTCCTGAGTCGACAGTCTTTTCCCAGTTGATCCTTTTAATGAACAACAATAATCGGGGTTCTCCACAAAGCGGAAGTCACTGGGCACATGGGTATGTACTGGGAGGTTGAGGGTAATGAAGAATCAGGTCACGTGATTATAAAGGCTGCAAGTCCAGAATCCAGGACCTACATATTCATCTGGAAACTCAGGAACAGTGGACCGTGCAGGTCCAGTCTGTGTTGTATCCTAGTCTACTGCTGAGTTGAAATCAGCCAGTTATGGATACTATAGCATCCTGCTTTTCTGGGGTTTCATCCAAAAAATATCCTCACGAAAACACGCACAGTGATACTTGACCAAATAGCTAGACACTTGAATTCCCAAGTTAACACATGGAATAAATCATGTTTTGGCATGTGGGGCACTGACCAGATTTCACTGAATTGTTTTCTGTATTAATAAGTAATTGCCTCTGCACTATGTCTTAAGTGGTCCTTCTTTCTTTTGGCTTAGGGTGGGGTGGATCCATTTCCCCAAATGTGTGCAAGTCTCTTTCCGGGATCTCCTTCAGTTCATCTGGTCACCAAGTCTTATGATGTCAGTGGAGATCCAAAGCTCCTTCATGTTTGTCTAACCTACAAGTGACCCTTTTCTCGACTATCTGCATCTTATTGACGGATTTTATTGTATTTCTTGACGTGTGGAAGCTTCAGTCTACATAAGCCCAGCCCTATCCCGCCAAACCTTGTGTGCATTTGACATTTCCTATAGGTTCTGCGGTCTCTTTGGATTTCTATTCAAAGGATTCAGACATCTCTTCATTGCCTTATGTCATACAGAGCTTGTATATCTTCTTACAGATCTGCTCCTGTCTGAATTCTCTTAATTGTTGTACTGATTTAACCTTCTAAGTCTCTGCGGAGTTCTGTGCTGCCATTCATTGCGGAAGATGAGTTCCTTTTCTTCCTTCCAATCTATACTCTTTTTCCCTTATCGCTGGCAAGGTCCTCCTAATTGCAATGCAGTGTTGGATGAGGGTTCCTGCCGGCTGCAGGCATCTTCGTCCTCATTTTAAAGGGGTTGTTTAAACAGCTCATCACTAAGCATGTTGCCTAAGATCCATTTTTAATGAAGATTCAGGGATTACCTTCTATTTTTAATTGGCCAAATTAGCATAAAAACTGATGCAGGTTTTTCTTCCTTTTTTTGAGGTGACAATTTTGGTTTTTCTCTTTAAGATTGTAAGTGTTGCTTAAATTATCATTACTTGTAAGAAATCTTACCTTGGCAGAAAAGCCCAATTTAGTCAGCCGTGTCTGCTTTACAGATAACTGGGTTTTACTAATCAACTTGCTAACGTTTTGAGTCACTTCTCATCCATTTATATGAGTAAGATGTTAGCTACACAAAATGTTTTAAATTTTGAGGTATTCTTTTTTTAACTCTGCAAGGTTTGTATAAAAATTACAGTAACTGATTTATCCAAAATTGAGTAGAACTCTCCTATAAAACCATCTGGGCCTATTGCTATAGAGAACTTTTTTTTTTTTCCCATGTCATGGGGTGGGTCTTAGATTTTGTGTCTTTTTATTTCAGGTAACTGCTGGGGTTCCTCTCAAGAAAGAATATACAGAGGAGGTAAGAGGAGCTAATCGTTCAACCGAATTAATGGTTAGCTTCCAGCTGAGCATCAGTGAATGTACCTTCGCCAGCGACTTCTAAGAAATGTGCTTTTATGGATGAGGAGATGGTCCAGTGGGTAAACTCATGCTTACCTTGCAAGCACAAAGACCTGAGCTCAATCCCTGGCACCTACATGAAAAATATCAGTTATGATGGCACATGCTTGCTTTCTCAACACGAGGGAGGCAGACATGAGTGGATCCTTGGGCTCACTGGCCAGCCAGCCTACTTGGTGAGGTAGAAGGTGCTTGAGGAACAGCCAAGGTTGTCCTCTGGCCTTCACACGCATGCACACACGCGATTCCTTGAGTTTTTAAGAATGCCTATGAAAATGAGCAGGATCGAGGGGTGGAAAACATTCCATTATCTCTTGAAGCTGAAGAAAAGAGAGATAGACTTATTTGTTGTTCTCTTCCTCCAAGACAGCTATCCAAGTCCAGAAAAGAGTGAAGCTTGTACCTGTGTCTTCCTTTGTGGTAGAATAAACGCTGACTCTTTTGGGAAGTGCACAGATATTTTCATGGCTTACGAGAGGGCAGTAACTGTCCTGTAAACTGGTCAACTGGTGGCAGTACTGCTGAGCTCCTACAGGTGGCGCCATGGGTTTAATCCAAATTAGCCAGGCAGGACGCCCCCTCAGCATCCCAGGGACTCGGGCCTTTTGCTCCCCGGGCTGCAAACGGTGGGTTGCTGATGCTCTGACGGCCAGTCCTCCATAGTTGCCCGGCCCAAAACTCAAATACATGTGCTTGACTCCAGAATAGTTTTAGACCTAACTTAAACATGAATCACCTCTGTCTATATCCCTCTTTCTCGGCAGCACAAGGTCTTTCAGATGTTTTAGGACAATAAAGTAAGAAAGGATAAAAGCAGATGTAGCCAGTGTCTTGAGGCTGGTCTAGCTTGTGGGTTTGGGGGCTGGTGGCAGGTGAGATGTAATGACATGGAGGCCGATTTCCTTCCAGAACATTCAGCTCGTGGCTGATGGCTGCTGTAACCTACAGAAACAAATTCAGATCGCTCAGCTCTTCGGGGTCCCCGTGGTGGTGGCGCTAAATGTCTTCAAGTGAGTCCAGCTCTCTGCTCCCTGTTGGGCCGCACTAGCGACCATGTTTGTGTGCTGAGGGCCCTTGGCTTTCTCACTTTCATCTGAAAGACACAGAATTCTGTCTACTTGATTTGGTTTCATTTTCACAAATGTGTTCTCAAGTGTTGCTGTAGAAATGAAACTCAGATAGTAAATTACCATCTGTTTGGTTTTGAGGGGGCTTGTTTTGGGATTGTTGTTTTTTTCCCCTCATTCTACCCGGGGCTTCTGTCTGGCAGACTGAATGAATGATCAAAAGGAGTAGTTACGGAATTTTCTAGATTAAAAAAAAAGCATAACAACTTGAAATATTTGAGTCATGTTAGAGAGGATTCTTTCTTCGTGCTTTTCTTCAAGTCTGATTTATTTAAACACAATGTGACCACTTTTGCTGTTTGAAATCTATTCAGTGTTAGGGAGTGAAGTTCTATATAAACCGTTAGTCTTCCTCTCAAAACATCCCTAAGTGAATACAGATGCAGAAACCACAAACGTTCTCATCACCAGGACTGACACCCGCGCGGAGATTGACTTGGTGTGCGAGCTTGCTAAGAGGGCTGGTGCCTTTGATGCGGTCCCCTGCTATCACTGGTCTGCTGGAGGAAAGGGGTCCGTGGACTTGGCCCGGGCTGTGAGGGAAGCTGCAAATAAGAGAAGCCGTTTCCAGTTCCTGTATGATGTTCAGGTAAGTCACGACGGCCGTGACAACAGCAGTGTGGTAGCTCTTGTGTCTTGTGAAGCACCGTTCACATGGGTCATCTTGTGTAGCCTCCCCTGAAGCTCTACAGGGAAGCAAGCTCAAGGTCGCTGCAAGGGCAGATCCCACTCCTGCCCCAAACCGGTGCTCTGAAGGCCAAGGCTCTGCTTTCAAACAGCGAGCGCCAGCGAGGGGAAGGTGCTGGATTCCTAGCTCCTGCTGGCAGGCGCTGACTTTCAGTCTCACAGCTGCCTAGTTAGGAAGCATTTTGCTTGTCTGTTTCTGCTGTGGTCCAGTCCTTTGTAGGTGTGTGTGTGTGTGTGTGTGTGTGTGTGTGTGTGTGTGTGTCATGGGTATATGTGGGCACACACATACTATAGCATGCATGCGGAAATCAGAGGTCAACTTGTGGAAGTCAGTTCTGCCCTCCTGCCGGGTAGGTTCCAGGGATGGAACCAAGGGCGAGGCTCAGCAGTGGGCACCTTTATCCACAGCGCCGTCTCACCGGCGCTCAGTGTGTTTTCTTGCATGCTATCCTGCACATCTTTTCTTTGTAGTGAAACATACGTTACCGATTATAAGGGTACAGTTCAGGGGTACTGAGTTCATTCACACTGCTGTGCAACAATGTGAAATGTCTAGCACATTCCGAGAACGCTCTCGCCTCAGAGATCTGAAGCTTAGAATCCACTCAGCAGCTCCCCACGCCTCGTTTCCGCAGCTCCTCCTACTCCGTTGTACTTTATATGCAGGAATTTGACCACTTCGATAACTTGTATGAGTTGGACCTTGCAGCACTGGTGTTTATTAGGTGGCTTGTCTCACACAGGCTAATGGATGTCACAGCGCATGTCAGAGCTGGATGTTGTCTCCTCTCCCTGTACACACTACATTTTGCTTCCAGCGCATGACTGCTGTAAATGTTGCTGTGACCGTGTGTGTGTGTGTGTGTGTGTGTGTGTGTGTGTGTGTGTGGGCGCGCGCGTGCATGCGTGTGTCTGTCTGTCTGTCTTCAACATGCTTTCGGCTGTATAGCCAGCAATGAGAATGCCATTTTTCCTAGTTTCTTAGTTTCTCTCTTTTTCTTGGGGCCATTTGGCTTTTGGTGTTTTTGCTGAAACAGACTCTCATAAAGAGCAGGCTGGCCTTGAACTAACTTTGTAGCTAAGGGTGGCCTTAATTTCTAATCCCTCCTCCCTCTACCTCCTTAGTGTTGAGATTGCAAGCATGTGTCACTATATCCAGCCTCATAGTTCATTTTTTAAACTAATTTTGACATTTAGCCTTAAGTAGAAAACTTGAATTTCCCAGAATCCACTCTTATGTCTTGGTGTCCACCTCGTATCTCCATTATGGATTTCACGGCTTCTGCTCTGATCAATGGGTTTGTCCTCGGAGGGAGTCTGTGGCTTCCAGAGTGTCAGTCTGCAAGCTGACAGCCCCTCCTCCCATCTCCCTCCCTCACACAGTCCCCAGTCCTGCCTCAGTGGTACCGTCACTGTCGCCCCTGCTCACCTGACTCAGCGGTGTAAGTCAGCAGGAAGCAAAAGCGAGCAAGGGCTTGGTCACATCTGTCAGCCTAGAGATTCGTGAGCAAGAGCACCTCGGGAGGGAGGCCGTCCCCCATCACCCCATGGGCGCTTTGTGCCTGTCTGCTTCTTCTCATCCTAATCTTGCTGGCAAGAACTGGCGGTGCCCTGCTCTGAGGTTAAAAAGCTGAAGCAGAGGTGGGGAACCCGCCCACCATCCCAGAACATGGAGGAGGCAGAACTGAGACTCTAAGACAGGAGGTCAGCATTCAGAACTGGGCACCGTCTGTTTAAGGGCAGGGAAGAGACATGCAGCTTGAGGGGGACAGCAACTATGGAACTCACCTTCCAGGGCTGACAGAAACAGGGTAGGCACAGAGTCCCTGCCAGATAAGGGGCATCACCGTGTAGCATTTTGGGGAGGAATGGATCATGACAGCTGGTGCAGAATGGCCACTTGATGAATAGGGGGCTAGAATATTCTGGGTTACAGTGTTGGTCAAGATGAATAGGGGTGGCCTGGTGAGATGGCTCAGCAGGTAAAAATAGATGCCACCGCCAAATCTGCCAGCCTGGAGTCAACCCCCGGGGATCCATCTTCTGGGAGAGGCGCGTTGAGAGTTCAAGGCTGTTCTCCAGTGCATAGTAAGCTGAAAGCACTGGTTTGATTGTTGTTGTTGATACAGGGCTTCTCTGTGTAGCCCTGACTGTCTTGAAACTCACTCTGTAGACCAGGCTGGCCTTGTACACAAAGATCCACCTGCCTCTGCCTCCCGAGTGCTGGGATTAAAGGCATCTACTACCATTGAGACGCTGTCTCGGGAAGACAAAATCTGAGTTTCAAAAAGTTTGTGACATCTTACCAACTCTCAAAGGAATCCTTCTTTTTTTTATGTGTTCCACTTGTATTTTAACTATTTTCTTTCTTGAGTGTTTCTTGTTTTACAATATCAGATGTTGACAAATCAGGGTTGTCCTTAGGTGTAAGGTACATTCCTAATGCAGCATCAGCATCAGCCAGGATCACAGTAGACCACACCTCCTTCTCTTTGAGAGGCAAGAGCTGTGAGCAGGATCATAAAGCCTCGTTTTTTTGCAAAGATGGAGAGGTGAGCCTGAGAGCTAGCCGGAGGCTTCTTTGTTCCATCAGGAGCTCATCCTCCCCACATCCTTCCTCTAAACCTGCAGACATTTTGAGGTGGGACCTTCACAGCCAGGCAGGTTCACATTTGTTTTTGTTAGAAGGTCTTTCCTGTTGCTGACGGAGAACCATTCTCTGGGTGCAAACGGGGCTGGATGGACAAAAACCAAAGCACGAGAGACAGCCACCAGCTGTGAGATTGTGAACTGGGCATTCACGGCCCCCAGCTTAGGGTTGGTTTCTATCCTGCCAGTCATTTTCAGAGCAGAGTATGTTTGGGTTTTGTCTTGTTGGCCATTGAGAAATTACTTCATTTGTCTTTAAAGATTCAAATTTGAACATAGGTGGGAACTGTGAGTTTTCTTGTAATTGAGACATAAGGCATTTGCCACCAGATTCTCAGATTTTACATGCGCAAATTTAAATTCATGTATACATGCACATATACTTTCATCTATGTATATAAGGCAGGGCTTTGCAGACTAGAGGTGTGAGTGAGTCAAAGTCGTTCATTCTGAATATCTGCTTCTGTGGCTTTACGTACATTATATGCGTATAGGGTTGAATTTGTAAAATTTTAGACTTAAAATGTTATTTATTCATCTCTGTATGTCTTACCTGTTTTGTAGCAGTTGGGGAGGTGGGGCACACTCATGTGAGAAAGACTGCAAACCCCTTCTCCTTATTTATGTCCCTGCCCTATGTCACCTCTACCTGCATGCCCCTTTCCCGTTTCTCCTTTCCCTTTCCAGGTACTGCGCCTTTGGAGTAATCTGTAAAACTGCCCACCTGGCTGAGTAAATCTGCCTTTCTCACCTCTGTGCTGCAATAGTTTGGATTTCTTATTTATGTGTGAGCTGCCTTTGCACAGCTCCAGTCTTCCACCCCTCCCCTCACCAGCCCCCAATTCCCATGGCACCCAGAACAGATCTTGCCCAACTCTGTCTCTTCTTTGCTCTCCTTTGACCTTCTTGCACCTCCACAGCCCAGCAAGTGTTTTGTAGGTATACTATCTTCCATACTATATAGATTCTTCACTTGTCAATAAACAGCTGATTGGCCTATAGCTGAGGCAGGAAACAGGAGGGAGGAGTTTCCGTAGAGAGAGTGAATGCTGGGATAAAGTGAAGTGCTTGGGATTCACCCAGGACACTGAGGAGGACAGACGCATGAAACCTGAGCAAAGGTAACCAGCCACGTGGCAGAACTTAGAACAGAATAAACGGGATGTTGTGAGCAAGTCAGGGAACATGCCTAGCTATATTAGCCTAGGCTTTTGTAAATATATTTACGTCTCAGGGTCATTATTTCTGGGAACAAGGGTGTGGGTGAAAAACACAGGTTACAAAAACTCTCCATCAACAGTGCTTCACTCCTGTGTGCCAAATGGCCACAAGAGATCTGAGCATCACACAAGAACCACGATTTTCAAAGCGTCCTCTTCATTGTCCTTTGTTGGTCTGGCAAAGCCCCTCCCAGCTGTCTCACTGATGGAAGAAACAGCACTTGATGAGAAATTAACAGTGTGTGATTTCATTCACGTGCCCCGTGAAAACCGAATATCATTGTGATAGGCATTTCTAGAAATACATTATTCCCTCTAACACTGAAAGACTCTCCAATGGCAACCTATGAAGGTCACACCACAAGGGGGACAGCCACCATTTACACCACCATCCCATTTGCAAGGGCCTTTTATACTGAGATGAGAACATAGTAATCTCATTGGAGAGACTAAAGGTGCACCTTAAAGATACCAGATGTCATAAAATACATCTGGAGAAAAGTGTTCCCTTCAGATTCAGGGCAGACACTCATTCACCCTGATATGAAGAGGCTGAGTCTTTGTTTTAAATGATTTTTTTTCAGAAAATTAATTATTATTTTTTTTCTTATAAGCACCTCTCGTTCCCTGTCTTTCCCTCTCCTCCCCATCTTTCCCTCCTCTCCTCATCATCCCCTCCTCTCATCTCCCTGTCTTCCCCTCCCCTCCCTGTCAGCGTGTGCATGTGTATGTATGTGTTTGTGTGTATGATACGCCTGCACATGTGTGTAGAAGCCATGGGATAACCTCAGGCGTGGTTCCTCGGGGCAGTGCACCGTGTCTCAGGTGGACAGCGTCTCTCCTTGGTCAGGGGATTAATTGCAAGTAGGCCAGGCATGGCTGACTGGCCGGCAAGCTTCAGAAGTCGCCTGATCCCGCCTCTGCAGTGGTGGATCATTCCTGTCTCCCCATGCTGTAGGCTCTGAGAGGTTAGACTCTGGGGACCCTCCAGAGCAAGCATGTCCCCACCTGAGGTGCCACTCCTGATTCTTGA